GCACCAGCCAGGGGTTTGTGGGACCTGGCGTCATCTGAGAACGTGATCCTAGTTCCGCTTGCTGGAGCCCCGACCCTGAGCTTCCAGCCCGAAGGTGGCTCCTGGAAGTGTCCCCCCAGATCTCTGTTTCAGATGTTCCCCCTCCCCAGATTCTGGGCAGAGGGCAAAGAAGTTCTATTCTATTTTCCTCCTTTTTCTCTTCCTTTCTCTGCTTCTCCACTCCCTTCTCTTTTGTCCCCTCTTCCTCTCTCTCCCTTGTCTGCATTCTTATCCTTTCCTTTCTCCGTTGTTTGTTTGCTTCCTCCCCTTCCCCTCTTTTCTTTTGCAAGTCCTCTGCCCTTACTTCTCGGTGACTGACAGGAGGCACTGCTCAGACGTGGCCAGTGGGAACAGGTGCTTGGGCAGCAGGGCTGAAAGGAAACCCAATCCCATTGGCAGGGCTGCCGCCTTGCTGGCTGACCGCTGATGCACCCTACAAGCGCAGAGGCAGGCCTCCGGGCTGCTGACCACAGAGCAGCTAGCAGGTGTCGTTTCATTGGGAGGCATGATTACCTAGATTCATGTCAGGCCTTGCCTAACGCAGATGGGCCCTCTGCCTGCCCTCACCCAGGCTTAATCTGGGTTTAGACTCCATTGTGATTGCGCTATGACCGGTAAGACCTTCCACAATGAAGGGAACTTTTTTCTCTGCCTCTTTCCAGAGGTCCGCCCTCTGCGAGCCACTTTTGTCCTGCTTTGGTGGAAAGGCCACCAGGTGTGCATGGGCTCTGCCCTCCGGTATCAGATTGCAGCTGCAGGAAGGCAGGGAGCTAACGGAGATGGGGAAGGGGTTACAAAAGCAGGGAACATGGCTGGAGTGGTGGATTGAATGAGGCAAGGTGACGGGATGAGAGCTGGAACCTGAAAATGATCTGAGCTGTAATCCACCTCACCTATGTCTATCCGTCCTTAGATCTAGTTTGTCTGTAGCTGGCTGGTTCTAGATCGCTCTGTCTGGGCCAGGCCCCCAGCTGGCATAAATGGCAAAGGCAATGGGACTGTGCCAGCTGACCCCATCAGTGGATCTCACCAATAATACTCCAAGGCCCCAGTCAGGATCAGGACCAATAATTTTTCCCATCTAAATGCGGAATAAATGTGTGCGCCAAGCCACATGTGGATGCGTACCACCAGTAGAAAATAGGGATGTAAACTTATGGTTAAAAAGTTACCTGGTTAAACATCACATTTAACGGGCTCACTGGGCCAGGGCCAGGGTGGCTGCTTGGGTTGGGCTAGGCTGGAGCAGCCCCCTGCCTGTGGCACAGTGCAGCCAGCGCTGGTTTACCAGTTACCCAGGTAAGCATGCCGGTAAAGTTACCTATTTACATACCTAGTAGAAACACATGCTGCAGGCTTTGAGCGCTCTGCTACTCAGCTGGGCAGCATTTCAATCTCCTGGGTGGCCGGCCAAGCACTCGGCTTATAGGAAACAGTGCTCAGGGCCCCATTGTGCTGGGTGCTATGTGCATAAAGCGTCTTGCTGGGGGCCCTTCTGTTTTAAGGTTCTCGGCTTTTTCCCTGAAGAAACCTGTTCCCGTTTAGCTTCACGGGAAGGTCAGGGCCACTGAGGTTCCCTAGCACTGATCTGTGACCCTAAGGGGCTGAGATCCCGGATCTAGGGTGGTACCAGATGCGTGTAGCAGAGGCTACATAGACTGCTTTTGTGCTGGATGTGCAGGTCTCTTTGTTAGAATGTACGGAGGTGGGGTGCCTGGCCTGGATTGTGTTGGTCAGGATGCCGAGGCTAATGCCTCTCATCTTGCAAAGAATAAATAGGATCTTTAAAGGCCCACAGCTCGCTGGGACCTCGCTTGTGGGCCTGGCCTATAAGGCTGCACTGCTTTGGGCTGGTGGTTTGGTTTGCCCTCGGAGGGAAGAGCGCCTCCTAGTGACTCACCAGCATCATGTCCTGCTGCACTCTGGATTTTCCGAGGAGGGAGAGGGGGTGCTCTCCTCCAAGCAAAGAGGGCACCCCCCAGCTGAGGCCAAGAGGGCTCATGAGACCCCATTCTGTGGTGGCCGAACTCCAGACTTGAGTTGGGTGTCTTTTCCGGTTTTCACGGCCCTTGTGACTCCGGTGGTTTTCATTCTCCTTCTCTCAGATCTGTGGGCCTCCCCCCGCCCCGGGCTGCGGGTGAGTCAGAGCAAAAGCAGAAGCTGCTGAGCGCTACAGAGGGTGAAGCCAAGCAGAACCGGCTGGGCTATTTTAAAACTGGCCCAAATTTCCCCCTCCCCATTTCACATGAGGGGCCTGGCCCCACTTCGGCTTCCCTTTTCCCCTGCCCTCACCTCTCCCGCTCCTCAGGTGATGGGCTCAGGAATTTCCTAAGGGGAAATGGCAGAATTCTCTGCTCACCCCACCCCCTCTTTCTTGTAAAGCAAGCTCACGGTGAGGGGAAGGAGGGATGCAGTGAGTGGTGTGGATTCCTGGTCTGTGCTCACGTAGCTCCCTTCCACCAGTGACCAGCAATCACCGTCGTTAGACTCTTGCCAGATCTCTCCTGTCTTGTACGTCAAGTGCAAGTTCTTCAGGGCAGGAACTCTGTTCTGTGCACATCCAGTGCTCAGCACAGTGCGGCTCTGGCCTTAGTCTAGGCCTTGGTGTCCAACACACTAGTCGTTAGCCGCATGTGGCTATTTGGCCGGTTGAGTGTGACTAGTTGGCTCCCAAAATTATGTACGTTTTCAGAATAATGTGGCTAGTTTGCTATAGCAGTAGCCACTGTAATGGCTATTGTTTCAAAACTTTTTGGGCACCATGGGACTAGAGCCTCTAGGTCAGGGCTACTCAACACGTGGCCTGTGGGCTGCATGCGGCCTGTGACCCATTTGTTTGCAGTTTGGGTTTATGCAGGGCTCAACACACGGCCCGCAGGTGGGATCCTTTGAATATGGCCTCTACTGGGAACACGCTCCACAGTGGCGAGGTGTCTCCAGGTGGGGTGAGCATTGAAAGATGCAAGCGGGCAATCTGGCTAGAACAGACAGGTACAGGATGTCAGCATTTCTAGCGGGAGGGATAGCTCAATGGTTTGAGCATTGGCCTGCTAAACTCAGAGTTGTGAGTTCAATCCTTGAGGGGCCCATTTAGGGATCTGGGGCAAATCTGTGAGGGCAGGGGACTGGACTTGGTGACCTCTTAAGGTCCCTTCCAGCTCTATGGGATATGTATATCTCCATAAATATTTTTTATTTTATTAGCCCCCAGGGAAGAGGTGCCGGGAGCACTGGGGCATTGTGGGCAGTGCTTTGTATTTATGCCCCCCCATCAGTGTGAAATAAGCTATTTGCATGTACAGGACTCGCCAAGCGGCGGCGAGCCCCGCTCGCCAGCCGTGCGGTTCTGCGAGCTGCGCATGTGTAGATCGTGCTGCGCGTGCGCAGATTGCACTGCGCTGGCTGTGCCGACTTGTAATCTACTCGCCCCGGGCGAGTAGATTACATGATTTGTCGAGCCTTGTGCATGTATATGCAACGACACTTAAGTTGTGGCCCTCGACATATGCTGGGAGTATCATTGTGGCCCTCGGGTCTTCCAAAGTTGAGTAGCCCTGCTCTAGGTGCTACAGCCTCTAGGTGTTGGACCTCCCTGGTCTGGCACCCTTGGGACCTGATTGGTCCCGAACGAGGGGATTTGTTGGACCAGGGGAGGTCCCCTGTCATTGGCTCCCTGCCCTTCCCTACTGCTGGGTACCCCCAGGCTCGAACTCTGGCCCTGGATCCACTGTTGCTGGCCTCCGGCACCAGCCCGCCGCTCCCGGCCCAGCTTGGGCTCCCTGGAGCTGGAGCTCCCTGCTGTGCAGCTGCGGCTGGAGCACTCCACTCTGCTGCCAGATCCTCCTGCCGCACTCCTAGCTTTGCCACCAGACCTCACTGTCCCTGGGCTCTGTGGTCCAGCAACATCCGTGGTCCTGCCGGACCAGAGAGTTCCGGTTTAGGGAGGTACAACCTGTACTGTGATTAGAAATTATGAGCAATGCTGGTGGCCCCGAAGTATCAAGAAAGCTGTGCAAAGAGTTTGCGCCGGCTGAGCCGATCGGGATCGATCTATCTCTGGTTAGCTCACTAGCCGCAAACCCCAGTGTGTCCTTGCCGGTGCCTGGTATTGGTGGTAGGAGATGTGACTAGAAGACCTGGTGGTGGCTTCCGTTTGTTTGTTTGGCGTATGCGATCGGGTGAGGCTGACCCACCCCATTCTAACCACCAGCATTCAAGGCAGGACTTGCCTAAGCGTGAGGGTCAGCAACACCGGCCGCAAAGCATTGATGGCTGACTCAGGACTACTCCGGCATGTAAATAAGGTCCTCGGTCAAAATTTCCCATAGATGGTTTTCCTGCCCCTGACCTGTTTCACACCTGTGCAAGGTAACCTCCTTGCCACCTGCTAATCTGCATCCGTCCTCGGTGCTGGTGCACGTTCCTGTGGTCTTTGTTCTGTTGCTATTTCAGATGCTTTCATAGCCATCCCAGGCTGGATCTGGGAAAGCACAGAGTATCCTCCGTGCCCCAGTGGGAAGTGAAAGCATTCAGCACCTCACAGAATTCGCACCTCTCCTGCTTCACCTTTTCTCTCTCTTCCATCTCCTGCTTGCTACAGCAAGGAGGGAGAAATGCAAACCTGGCGAGAATCCTGGGGTCAGGAGGAGCAGAGTCCCTTAGGGGTGTGGAGGCACACGTCACTGGGGGCTCTGATCCTGTGGTGATGAAGGGACCTTGGGAACGTCCGGATTGATACTGCGCTCTGTTGCAATGCCATGGATCTGGAGAAACCCCATGGAAATCAGCACAGCTGATCCGTGTTCATGTCATTGTCGCTGGAAGTAGGGTCTGGACTGGGCGTGTTGCTGGGTGTTGAGTAGGGATGTAAAGGACAAGTCGACTATCCAATAAGCGCATGCTTACATCCCAAGTGATGTAGTCCCTAGTCACTCACATCCCTAGTGATGATGTCACTCGATTGTCCCACAGAAAACAATTGTTATATACAGAGAGAGAAAATAAACATACAAGTTTAATGTCCAGTGCAGGGAATTTCAAGGGGGCAAGGTCAATGAAAGACCAGGATAGAGATGTCTCCTGCTGTGCTTCCCAAATGCAGGCCAGAAGAGGCATAAGTGAATTCATGAGAAGAGTGAACTCCCTAACAGTGCACCTGCTACCCAGAATGCTTTGCCTCTGGCTTGCGTAGGCTTCACACCTGAAACAGTGCACTGAAACACTGAGTATCACTTCCTGCGTGTGGTGAAAATTGTAAGTGTCATTGTTACCTCTCATTTAGAATTACTTAACGTGTTACAGGAACATTAGTCTTCTTTGGGGGATTTGGCTCTTTGCCAATCTGAGTTCCTACAGGACTGCTAGAAGAAGAACAGCCTGTCTTTGCATACAAAGCTGAAACTTCATTAGGAGAGGCACAAGGTCCCTTGATTTGAAAACATTTATAAAGGCCTATCTGTGTTTTGGTTATTATTAACCAGTTTCTACCTTTGCATTTTTGACTAAGGCTTTGGAGACATGAAGCAGCTGCAGGAACACTTGGGCAATAGTGATTTATATGGCACATTTCAATCTGGTTTCAGGGACAGACTGAGTCCACATTGTAATGTGCATGCAACACACAGGAATACTGGGGAGAAACGGATATTTATTTTCTTGTCTCAAAATGCTCAGGGCCAGGATTTTAAAAGGTCAGAGTTAAATCTTTGCCGCATAGCACTAACTGCAGTGGACACTGTTACAAGAGTCACTAGTGATTTGCAGAGCACAAAGTGTAGGCCTGGCCTTGATGTCACTAGATTTATTAGCCCTGGTCTACACTCGGAATTTAGGTTGAACTTAGCTGCATTAGGTCAATTGTCTAAACAAAGAGTCCACACTTCCAAGCCTGTTCTGCCAACTTTCAGGGCCATTCAGGTTGATTTCAGTGGGCAGCTGCCTTGTCTAAGAATGATAAATTAATTCGTTCTGATCAGACCTTGCTGGGTTATGTGCAACGCTCTCCAGATGTTGGAGAGGTCTCAGATATTCTTCAGCTTTTCTGCTCTTCAGTGATAACTCTGAATTATGCTATTTTATGTGAATGATACCCATGTGTTCCAGAACCTGAAGGGATTACTGGCTGTCTTGACAGGTAGATCACTGAAATACAGAACTGGGGGCTTGAAACTGGCTCAGTCTGAACCCAAGCAAAACTGAAATGGCACTGATTGGATGAGAAAGAAATATAGAGTGCCAATCACTGTTGCTCCATCACCGAGAAGCATTGGGGGCTAGGCCCACCTCTTGATCTAAGCCCACGTTAGGAGATCTCACAGTGCTCATTGTCAGAGGGTTTTTAACTATCATAAGAAAGATGCAATATTGTAGCTGGTTTTCTCCCATGTGAATTGGATGACTATGACGCGTACCTTTGTAACACCACTGCTCCACTCTGTTCATCTGAGGAAGTGGGTTTTGCCCACGAACTCTCATGATACTATGTATATTTTTAGTTAGTCACTAAGGTGCTACAGGACTACTCATTTTTGTAACACCAGGTTAGACTACTCTGTAACTACTATTGCTCCCAGCCCATGCAGCAGATCTGCTCAGATTTCCGTGAGCAGAAAAGGTTCTGCCTACCATTAATTGAGTGCACAGGCATAAACCAAGTTTGAAAATTTGGTTTTAACTTTTACGGTTCTTAATGAACTGAATCCCATATTGCTTTATGTTCTCTGACATCATACGTTGTAGCACCCCAGGGCACATGGAGTGAAATCCTGGTCCCACTGAAGTGAATACAAGTTTTGATATTGGAACTTAGGGTTTATAAGAGCAGGCATAACACACTGTGCATATGAGACACTCACCCCTATTCCAGCCCCTTTACACTGAGTGAAAAGAGCCAGCCTGGGCTAATGGAACCCTAGAGAACTGTATCCAGCCACTGGAGGATTCCCCTGGTGCAGGCACTGTGAAAGATCTGAGGACCCTTTCACAAGACCTGCACATAGAGCAGGGGTGGGCAAGATATGGCCCACAGTCTGGATCCAGCACTCAGGATTTGGGGGTGGTGTATGGTATAAAGTCTCTCATCTCCTGCCCTACCAGCGGGATGCAGTGACTAGAGGGAACAGCAGGCAGTTCCCTCTAGCCACTGCATGCCTCTGGCAGTCTGGGGGTGAGAGACTTCATGTGCTCCCCTGCCCGTAGGTCCTGATTGGCCTAGGGGTGGGGGAAGTGTGAAAAATCTCCTCCCTCCATCAGGGGGAACCATCAGCTGTTCAGAGCAGCAGGTGGTTCCCTCTAGGCACCATGCACCCCTTGCAGGGACATCTTAATGTCTTAATCCGTTGGGTCGGCATATCTTATTTTGGTGTATGCATCACTCTTGTGTGTAAAGTTAGATATAACGAGTATGGATGGTTTTAAATGTGCAAATGAAAGCCATCAATGGTGTTACCTTCAATGTCAAGATGACCAACTGTAAGCAATCTCCTTTGTCCTCCAACTCTTAGCAGAGGTTGGTCTGAAGAAGTCACATGAAGGGGCTGACCAAGTAATGGAAGGGTGGAATGTAGAAACAGAATTCCTGCCCAGAGTGGAATGTATAAAACAATAGGAAGCTAGCAGGTCTTTGTCTTTGGCTGGCATGCCACTCCCAGGAGAATGAACCAAAGGTCAATTGGAAAAGGAGATTTCTCTGGTTTTGAAGGCTTAGCTAGAACAGGAATAGTTTTAGAGTGAGTTTGTAATAAGTTTGTACTGAGGTTTTGGTGTTAGAATTAGCTATGCATTTTCTGTTATTTTACATTTGTAATCTATTTGCTCTGCCTGTTTTCACTTATAATCACTTAAACCCTATTGCTTGTACTTAATAAAATCACTTTTATTTAATTTCAAGCCCAGTGTAAATAATTGTTACTGGGGGGAGGAAGGGAAGGGGCAATCAGTGTGTACATTCCTCCTTTCATTGTTAAAGGGGGCTTACCTAAATAATTTATTTGGGCGGTTGATCCCATTTGGGGAGTGGTATCCCGAGAGGCTGTTCCCAAAACTGTATTTTTTTTTTGGCCCTGAAGAGTTTCAGTGTCTGTACTGCTGCTCAGAGGGGCAGTGATCTCAACTCTGTGCCTTGGCTGGGGAGATCAGGGAGCTGGCCCGGCAGGACTGGGTAGTGAAAAACCCCAGAGAACAAGAAGGCGAGTGGCAGGGGTCTTGTCAGCACCCTGGGAAGCACAGCCAAGGAGTCTTTTGAGATCATAATGGACGTTAAGTGCACATTAAGATTGATAGGTTACATGAGGCAATTTGCCCAAAGCATCTTGGAGTTATACATATTTATATCCATAAGTTCACTTCATAAAGCATGGGGATGGGTCGATCATATTGTTGTCTGGGGCTCTCTGGTCTGGGAACATCCAAGGAACATGCAAAGATTTAACTTGTACTTGTTTTTAAAAACAATTGTCATGCTTTGCATAATTTAATATGCAGCCATTTTATTGCAAAGTTCTAGAACACTAAAGAACAGTTGATAGCTACTATATAAATACAAATACTAATCTAGTGCTAGTAAGTTAGTGTTCCCTGCATAGCAATCAAATGGCCAGCTAGGCTACCAGATTCTATATATACACATGGGAACAATCCCGGCAAACTGGGTGAAGTCATATTTGGTAGGTCACAGATATTGCATGCACTACGTTTACACTTTCAAATCCTACATTTGTTTTGCTACCTATTTCCTTCTTTCTTCCTACTGATTTCCTGTTTGCCTGAACTCTGCCATTACTTCTGCTTGCAATACCAGCTTCTACCCACAGGTCCTTAGCTCTCTGTTATTCCCACTCCTGCCTCAGAACAATCACGCTGAATTTTAAATTAGGACCAACCAATGGGCCACCTATTTTATTTCTTTGATGGGTTTATATCCATGAGTCTGCCCTGGTGGTTCTCTTGCATCCTAGTCATTGCCTGACCTCCACAGGAAAGGAAAATACAAACCATTGTAAGAGTGCCAATGTGAATACACTAAAATGAAAGAGAAAGGGGACAGAAAAGAATGAATGGATCAGAGACTGATCCCTAATTTTATATGAAACACAAGGCAACTTTATTCAGCAACAGGATATAAAATAATACTGACATCCACAGTTTTAGAATGTGGACTAATCTCCTCTGGAATCCGTAGTATTTAATCTGTCAGTTACCACACAGAGATTTTGTATTTACTGACAGCTATTAATTCTCTACTCTTTCAAGCATAAAAATCATCAGCACTGGATAATATAGTTATGGAAATATACTTCTTTATGAGCTCATTTTCACAGGGAATTTCTATCCTGTTTAAGTTTATAAAGAACCAGCCAGCCCTACCAACTGAAACCTTACACATAGTATATTATCATTGTGTCACAGAGAAATTACCTTGGACATGAAAAATTTATTAACACTGGATTTAAATGTTATAGTTTGGAGCTGTTTGGATCTCTCTCTCTCATAGAAGCAGAGTAAATGCTACATTTCAGAACCAACTGAAAGGCCCTTCCTCTAAATGGCAGCAAGGCCATTTAGACAGGGCAGTGTCTATGAATGCATTTTGACCCTGTAACTTGTTCCCCACCCTGGCCCACGAGAGTTTAGATTTCTTAGTCTCCCAGACACACTGCCTTTCTCTTCATCCAGCCCTAGGAAACGGGAGTGGAATTTACTTTTATCATTGGGAGCACGGGGAGAAAAGTTACTTGGTTGCCTTTGCTAGAATTAATACACTTATAGTCCATTATGATGGATAAGGTATAAGCTGTTAATTTAATTATTTCCAGCACACTCAAAGAACTCAGGATGGGCATCCATTATTGAAATTACATCTACAGTGTATTTGAGAGAGCCTGCCTTTCTGTCTATTCAAGAATTCCTCCTAAATGGTAAGGTGAAAACCATCAAATTTGGTATACAGCTTCCTCTTATCATAACTTAAATCAAGGTAAGGGTTTGGTGGTGCCAGGAATATGGGATGTGCCTAGAATGGGATTGCTTCTCAGAAACTATAAAGAAAAGAGACAATCCCCCTCCCTCTCCCCATTTAGTACTGAAACATTGTCGTCTCTTCCCTTTCATCAGGGAGCAAGGGAAAAGTACACAGTTTACTGTATTCCTCACTGTGGCTGGGTAGCTCAGGGGTTAGACAAACTGGGACCTGCCCCAACCAGCTGCAGCAGCCTTGGAGCTGCAGCAGCCTTGGAGAGGTGCTTCTCACCTGGCCCAAAGCTGCTGTGGCAAGAGGGGGCTAGACTAGGGTTGTCCTCTCTCACTGGGGCAGCCTGCATACTGAAACTCTCATCCCTAGCCCCACCCCAGAGCAATGATTTAAAGGAAGCATGTACCTTCTCATTTTATTTTCCAAAAAACAAAAATTGAGTCAAGGACCCGAGCAATGCCTGGTAAATCTTCTAGTACGCTTACAGATAAAGGTTCATTAACTTCATTAATGATATTATGGAAATTGCAGATCTTGCAATATTAGGCTTTCCCCATAATTTTTATTTTAATTAGCTTATTTGGCATATATTTTGAGTGTGCAAGTAATACTGCTGTAACAGTCAATGCCTGTAAATTGTAAAAGGCTAAAGTGACCGGACTTGATTTCTATAAGCAGTTGTGTTAAGACTTTGTTGTCTTCTGAATTCACACTGTACCACTTCTTTTTTAATGAATGTAATATAGTTGCCACAAAATGTCTACCAATCAAACAAATTAGCAGGCATTACACAATACTTGAGTGTTTATATTGTGCCAGCAAATTTTTCTTAAACGCTTAGCCCTGCTCTGGCTTTCCCAAATTACTGCTGTTAATAAAGGCTCATTATTACTATTCCATTATTTTCCATGTCTTATCTCCAACTCAGCTGCAATTATTTGATGATCAACCCCACGATTCAAGTAGGATCTTATTGACAGAATAATGAAAACCAATACCTCCCTGTCACACGTGAGAGTACAATCCAAACCAGTGAGAGGATGTGTCATCTCCTGCTCTGCAACCTTGAGTGCCCCAAAATGCTTTATTCCTGTGGTCTCTGTCTGGACACTTCTAGCCTGCATACAACCCTGAGGTGTCCTGAGCGCCTGTGCCACGCAGCACTGCTTTGCCACACTTGAGCCCTGGCACCTAATTGCTTGAGCCTTGGCACCTCTTCATTACAAATTAAGCACTGGCTGGTTTACATTAAAAGTAAAACAAGTTTATTAAGAAGGGGGGGGGGGGGGGAGGTGGGACAAAACCCCTCTTTCTAGGGGCTAGGACTTAACAAAAGTGACAGCCTTTCTTCCAAAGAGTTTCTCCACTCATCTGCCCTGCGCTAAGATGGTGGATCACTCCTATGGCCAGGATCTCCCACAAAGTCCAAAGTGTCTCCTTTGTCTCCTTCCTGAAAGATAGCTTAAGATAGCATATCCCCCTCTCCTTATATTTCAGTAAACTTTGGAAATGGTTCTTCAGAAGTTTATTCCCCAAAGTTCATTCAAGGTCATTCAGAGCCTCCAGGTGAAGGACGTTTCATTCCTCTGCTGGTGTTTGCTAAAATGCAAGTTGTTCCGTTTCCTGCAGTCTCCTCTCTCTGCTCTCTTGATAACTCCAAGTACCTTCTGTGTCATTTGCACTCCAGCAGTCTCTTCTTGTACCTTGGAAATACCTTTTTCTGCT